CTCATCTGAGTTTCAGCACCAAAGAGGGGTTCCCATAGCTTCCTGCTGAGTTCTCTGGTGCAGCCGGGGCTCTAGGCAGGGCAGGGAATCCTAAACACCCTGCCTTACACCAGGGAGCCATGTGGTGAGCCCAAGGAAGGCAAATTCTGCATCCACAACAGGGAACCACCTTGCTCTTGGGCTTCTTGGCTCTACATTTGAGCCAGGTAGAGGCCAAAGACAAAGCTGGTGCTTATGCCCTCATTCTGTTTGTCCTAGTTTTCCAAATGGTGGAAGTGCACAAGTCTAAGGAGAAGCTTTGCTAGCACTTGCATGACTTAATCTGCTTCTTGAAATCCCAATCACCCGTTCCTCCCTTGCAGACAGATTTACTGCCTACATCTGAACATGCTCCCATGGAAGTTGCCTGAAAGACCTTTCTTATTCATTCTGTACCTGACTTACTCCGAATTTCAGCCTGTCCTGTCTATTCTTACCTCCTCTTTCAGAACAAAGTGGAAGAAAGTGTCTGCACAGCTGCTATTTGCAGCTTAAGACACAAAATAGGTGCACAGTGGGAGGATCTCTGCTGCCTCAGTGGCAGAGGGGCCACATTGCTGCACACTCACATGTCCCACTCTACAGGCTCCCTCTGTGGGGTGGGCTTACACCTGTAAATCCATCACAGATTTGGACATGGCACTGGATAAAGAACTTCTCTTCCCAGGGACACACATGGTCCAAAGGCAAAAGAGAAACGACCCTTCCCCTCTAAGTAGGGGAGTCCTGAGACGCTCAGGTTTAAGCCATTAGCACAAGCCCTCCTGGAGCTTGTTTGGTGACACATTCTCCCTGCTGAACTTTCTCAACGACTCTCAATCTAAACTGAGTCTGGGCCTGCGGGTTTGCTGCAGGCTGCATTCTTCTCCCGGCGGCTCGGGGGGACACGAGTGAGTCTGGAAGGGAGAAAGATGCCGAAGCGATTATTTAGCCCTTGCTAATGCTCCAGGATGGTTCTATATCCACCTGGGCCTGCAGCAGTGGTCCCAGGGCTTTGCTATCAGACACCATGACGCTTGCAGAGCTCCACTGTGGCCCCCAGATGGGCCAAACCAGCCAGAGCTGCAGGCCACTGGAGGCAAGGGAATGGAAGGGTTTCCCACACATGGTTCCATATCCATCGGGGCTCACCGCAGTGATCCCAGGGAATGCTTTGCTACCAGACGTCCCTATGTTTGCCAAGCTCAAGTGTGGCCACCACATGACACAGTGTACCTACAGATGGACCAACCCAGCCAGAATCACAGGCTCACAGAATTGGGAGGGTTGGAAGGGACTTCTGGAGATCATGTGGTCCAAACCCCCTGCCAAGGCAGGGTCAGCTCGAGTAGGTGACACAGGAATGCGTCCAGGTGTGTTTCGAATTTCTCCAGAGACCCTTTGCTGACACTTGCAGAGCTCCACTGTGGCCACCAGATGTCATGATGTGCCCACAAATGAACCAAACCAGCCAGAATCACAGTCACAGACGCACAGACTGGCAGCTCGAGTGTGGCCACCAGATGTCACGGTGTACCCACGGATGGACCAAACCCAGCCAGAGCTACAGGCCGGAACACAAGTGTTGTGGCTGCTGAGGTTACACGCAGGGAAGGGTTTCCAAGGCATGGCTCTGCATCCATCTGGGCCTGCCACAGTGATCCTGGGGAATGCTTTGCTACCAGACATCCCAGAACTCACTGAGCTCGAGTGTAGCCACCACATGTCATGGCCAGCCAGAGCTGCAGCTTTGGAATCCAAGCGCTGCAGATGCAGAGGTTACACAACTGGAATGGTTTCCACACTAACTAGATGGTTACTTTTGGTTTTAAACAGAGGTGTTGGCAAACAGCTATAATATAACTTACTGTCCTGCTGCCTAAGTTTGGTAATCCTCAACCTGAAATAGTTCCAGTAGCTGGCTCAGTGTCAGGACATAAGTTTATTTGAAACAAGGGAAAAATACTTCCTGAGGTGGCTAGAGAAGAGAGCAGCTGGTAGGATGCCTGGTGAGGAGCAAAGGGCTTCTCGGGCCTGTCACAGCCACGAGTGAGTACAGGAACATGGGGGCTGCCAGGGGTCTGAATTACTGCAGCTGCTGCTGGGAGGAGGCAGTTGGTTTTGGCCCAGAGGAGCAAGCAAAGACAGCAGGTATGGCATTCCAAGGTGACAGCAGCAAGATGCAGGTTAGTTCTCCCCTGCTCCCTCCTGCAAAGCTGCCCCAGAGGCTGCATAAGGGCTGGGGTTGCTGCAGCAGAGGTGAGGACAGAGCAGGCTCTAACACAGTATTTGTGAGGGCAACTGCTCCTTTATCACTAGAAATGGATGAGGCTGTGTCAGCCCGCCCAGATGTACAGGCATATGCCAAAGGTAGACTGGAAACATGCCAGGCTCACTCATCGCTCCAGGAAATCCGCTTGGATAAGAACAAACTTTCTCTGTTGTTTTTTTTTTAAATCTCTCAGACACCTACACTCAACTTGTCATCAGCTGTCTGGAGCCAATGCTATCTTGCATGCCACATGCTTCACTGGGAAGGAAGGGGGTGATGGTTAGGCAACCTATACAAGGCTTCTACTCTGAGCAGCTCAGCTGCAGGTACCCTATTACTCACTCCTCTTGCTGGCAGGCCCCAGGCATAGCTGACCCCCTCTGGACACACTCCCATGTGTGGGAAACAGTCCACAGCAGTGTCTGCACTGGGTGCAGCTGTGCCAGATGCCCCCTCCCCAAGGCTGAGCACTAGCTGTGCTCTCTGAGGCACTCACATCATCTCTGTACTCCCTGACCTGGCCACCTAGAGTCGAGTGCCCCTGCTCTGCACACAGGGCGTGCGAGGGCCTGAGCCGGGCCTGGTGCTTGGGGTGAAGTGCTCTGATGTCACAGCTGTGGGACTTGAGACCATTTCCCGGCAGTTTCATGTACACTTGAGTCACTCTGCCCTTTGCTCTAGAAACCTCCTGTTTGACCTCAACAGAAAAGGCCAAGAGAGAAATCTCCCCCCATTTCTGCTCATACCCCTGCAATGCAGCGTTTACAATGGGGTGGTATGCAGAAATTTTCTTCTGGATTCACCTCTGGTTTAAATGTTCCTAGTGACACTCCCAGCTCCTCATCAGAGGTTTGTGCAGACTTCTGATTGTGCAGATAACTGTTATTCCTTCTTCCCAGTTGCTTCATGGTATGCAACAGGACATTAGTCAAAACAGTTGTTCCTCAGGTAACATGCTTTTTGACCTGTCTACAAATATCTGTTACCTGCAGATTTTCTGCTGTATTTCCCTGAAGAATGTCCCAACTGAAATGTCAGGATAACAGGATGGATGATGTAGCACATCTTTTCATCTCTGAGATGACAGGACTGACAGCAGCTATAAGTCAATGTGAGACCAGGATCTGCACAGAGGATCTTTGCTTTTTCCCAAAGCCCTTCCTTACGTCCAGTCCCCCCTGCCAATAGTGGAAAGCAGTGCTGCTTTCCTTGGAGGATGCTACCAAAGATGTGCTCCCAGTGCCTGCTGTGCCTGGCACTCAGCCGTGTGTGTGAGCTGGCTGAGGCCTGGGGGCTGCCTCAGCTGTCTGCTCCCGTCTGGTGCCCTGACCCAGACCTGCCAGAGGCCAAAATGCTGCCTGGGAGGAAGGAGCCCATGCTCAGCTTCTCCCTGCATCTCTAGCTGTGGTTTTCCAGGCAGATTTCCAGGTGTGTGTGTGTATGTCTTGCATCCGGGCCTCCAAAGAAACCCCCAAGTCTCAGATTCCCCATGAAAGAAAGAGAGGAAGGGAAATCCCCCTTTGAAATGGCTTCTCTCTCAAGAGGTGTCAAACAAAGAGACCAAGGGGACAATGCATGGCTCTGCACAGTCTCCTGGCAAATGAACAGAGGTAACTTGGAAGCTGTGCTTCTGTTTTGCTCCCTTTCTTTCCGTTTGTTTTCCATTTCTACACTATCAAGGTAACTTTTGGCAAAACAAAACTGAGCAAACCCTCTGGCTCACAGCAGGCAGAAGGCGGCACAGACTCAGCTGCCAGGATGGATTGTGCCAGTTGCAGAAGTCAGGCCTCACTCCCCCAGTTGAAAAATTAAAAACGAATTAAACATGCAGCAGGTGTTAATGGAAGGCACGAACCAGCTGGCAAACCACAAGCCTTGGAAAAGGTACAAACCAAATGCAGACAGGAAATCCCCCACCCAGCCAGGACCTGGAAGTTGTCTACACCTGAAGGAGAAGTAAGTGGGGGTGGTTTACTTTAGGTCGATTATTTGCAGATGACTGAGCCTGAGTGACGTTTGTTCCCTTAGTTCTACAGCAGTATTATCAAACGAGTGAAAAACCAGCCCTTGCTAATTCCTGCGACCCCTTTCCTCTGAATGGTTGCTTCTCTCCCCTCTGAAGACCTGATCCTGACCTCCTTGAGTCACTGGCACTTAATCATGATGTAGGTGTCAAAGGAGCACTCCTGCCAGACAGTCTCTACACAGCTGGGTCCCAGTTTTAGGGCATTCAGGCCTGGCTGAAGGATGAGGAAAGGGAATTATGTCCATGAGCTGCAAGGAAGGCTAAATTTCTTGGTGGAACCGGACTGCAGTGTTTCAAGGATTGCTGCTTACATAAAGTGTGTTGGGTCCCACCTTTACTATTCCCTCATGGAGATCCAAAAGCTGAAAAGATTACAGGGCAACAGCCAGAGGTGGGGATTTTACAGATAAGGCAAAACGGTCTTAAACATGGCCAATACTCACAAAGAGGAAGCTGGCTGAGACAACAGTCCCACACTTTTCTCTCTGGAAGGCCAGCTCACCTGGCCTGAATCTTTGCTAGAGTTATACACCTTTTCTGAAACCCACCCACCCACCCTTGTGAGCAGTCCGTTTTTCATTTCCCCATTCCCACCCCTCCCCTGCCCCGCATGCCCTCGTTACTTCGCACTGGCTCCAGATAACTCTACGTGTATTTATCTTGCAGAAACAATCCATCACTTACGTTTTCTGCTTTATTGACCTTCTCCCATGTGGCACCTGGCTCCACTGCAGCTCGCTGTGGTACGTGACCTGCCCGTCCTCCTGCAGACTCTGCCATGGCTCCAGCTCCGCCGCAGCACCTGCAGCCACGGCTCAGGCCCTGCAACACAACGGGGAAGGACCTTCCCCACAGGGGCCAGTTACTCCTTCGGTTGGGAAATGGGAATTCATTTGAATTGTCTGCTGGCAAAGACGGACTGGGCTGGGTGAATTTTGGAGTTCTCTGTCTAGTGGTAGAGATGGGACACAAAACTGATCACAGAGACACTAAACATACACATTTCCACATGGATATTTTTTTTTGGCAGAGAAACCGCTTGTTACAAATAGAGGGAAAAGAATAACTCAAGGCCTCTGAGAGGCTGTGGCAGTGACAAGCTCTGTTCCTAAAAGAGGTATGAGCTTGTTATCTAATTCTTAGTGTACCAAGGGAGCATATTTACATTGCAAAGTGTTCCTGAATTAGTAAGTATTTTTAAAGCTTTCCAAATAAACTTCAAAGCAGGAGCACTTCCCTTTGGTAGGGAAGGGCTGGCTATGAGTGGGAGCTCTGAATGTCACCTGCTAACCACTTCCTTCCTGCCATCAGAACTCTCCCCACGGGTGGGCTTCTCCTGCCTTTTTTTTGTCCTACCAGAAAAGCCTCGTGAAATACAAGAAGGCTCCAGAGGGGGCTCAGAGTAGGCTGCTGTTCATCACCTCTCTCCCAGTCAGTATTACTGGTTTTAGAAGCAGGACTACTACAAGAGGCAGAGGGCTCAGCTCCTTGGCAGCCTGTGGAAGCCGTGGAGCAGCCATTAGATGCAAGGAAAGGCAGGCATCAGCAGAAGTTGCTCAGGGGCTCCCAGCCTGCTGTCCCCATCCCCACCACATTTCCCAGGGCAGGGTCAGACTGCAGGGTTTAACTGGACACCCAGTGTCATTACAGAAACACGTGTCTTTTGGAAACACGACTGACCCTTTGGAACTGACACACCATGAAGGTGAATTCAAGAAAAGCAACCACACATGGCAAATACTTGGGCAATTTCCTCTTGGTACATAATTGCTTGTTTTGTGACCTAAAAACCAGTATTCTTTACAGTCCTTCACAGGGGACAGGTTACCGAAACTATTTATAGCTGCTCTGATCCCTTCTGCAGTGGAGGTGGTGATACATTGATCAACCAGACGTGACATAATTCCTGATGCTGCCATCCCCAGCAATGCCTCGTGTGACCTACTCCTCAGGGTTGCCGTGGGCACACGTTATCAGCCCCATCTATTGCAGACATGGAAGAGGTCCCTCCCTAGCAGAGGACTTGGGAAATGCAGGATACCAGGCATGCTACATTGTGTCATTGGCCCTTGATGAGGGGGTGAGGGAAGTCCATCTCGGCAGTACTTTTCCACTTGCTTTCCTACCCAGGAGCTGGTAGCGGGGCTGTTGCAACACAGGAGCTTCACATGTCACACGGAGGAGCTCCAGTGAGGCTGATCCTTGCAGAGCCAGAGGTCACATGTGGCCTGGAATTCCTCAGTACTTTGGTGGTGCTAATGCACAGGGAGTTATTCTCAGGGATGAGAGATCTCAGGTGTTGCTTCCTTCCAGAAAGTACCTGCAATTCAATTGCAATGACTCCAGATAATACATATTCAATGGTTTGTGTTAATAGTCATTGGAAATGTCTGAAAAACAAGAAGGTTGAAGTATGTGGAGCCTCTTTTCAATCTGCAGTGACTTTGTAGCTTTTTCCATGGTTGGATAGGAGCAAAAGTCTGGCAATTTCCCATGGAATGGGAATCCTAAAGAACACAAACCTGCTGTTTTGATAATGCAACTGCTTTGTTGCCATAACATTTGTGTTTCCTTTTGACAACGGTGACAATACTTTTATGTCAAAAGGCGGTGATGACACATTGCATTTAAGATGGTCATAAACACAACCGGAAAAGCAAATCGTAACACAAAGAAACCCACGGAAAATACAGGTATTCTTTGGAGGTAGGATAAGGGAAGGGGAGCAGTCCCCATGGAAAAGAAGCCTGAAGGAAAGAAAGAGGGAGAATACCCTGCAGAGGAGCATGGCTGGGAAGCCAAGAGGCTGTCTGAGGAGCAGAGGCACCATGCCTGGGCACCACTGGTGCTCAGGTCCAAGGAGGTTGAGGATGTCTGGAGGCCTGGGACAAGCTGCTTTCTGGACCATGACCTACTGGAATGAGCTAGTCAGATTTTGATCCAAGGCAAAAGAAACCTGGAAAAGGCTCCTCCTCTTAGAGATTGTATTACCACTGCAACAGTGAGAATTAACCTGGCACTTCCCCCATGGATCTTCAGCTTATGAAATCTTGGCCTTTTCAAAGTCTTTATTACCATTTGAGCCCCTACCACAGTTTTATTATAAAGAACTTACAGTTACATATACAGGGAAATCCCTCTGTCTCCTGCCTAAGAAATCATGTGACATATAAGCAAAAGAGTCTCCAAGCAGAGCATCTGAAACAAACTTTGCTAAGTGGCCTGTTCCTCAAAAATTCCACTTCCCATAAATATTTTCTTCTCTCATTTCCTGTGTTCTACTTGTTACGTTGTTTAAGTCAAATCACTGTGTGGCAGTTGCTCAGATACAGAAGGTGACTGTAAGTGCCCCAGGAGCAAGTGCAACTGCATGGATGAGAAGGACAAGTGAGTGATCATGGAAACCACTGATGTGGCAAAGTGCAAACTGATAAAACAATATAAAATCCTCTCCTTTCCTGACTGGCAACAGCCTCCTCAGTTAAACTGGCCTTTAACATGGGTGCTTTAGGAAGGGTTTCTTTAAAGACCAGAGGGCACAGGTTTGGCCTAACGTGGCTGTCCATGACTCAGGGCCTCTGACGTCATTCTGCTCTTGGCAGGAAAAGAGAGAAAGGGCAGTGAGTTCAGACAGGACCGAGGCAGCTTCTAACTTAACACGGGACATGTGCCACCCACCAAACCTGAGTAAGGTAGAGGCACACAGATGCCCCTGGAGTAATGTCTGCAAGCACCATCAGGGGGAACAGCATCTCTAGAGTAACTCCTCTCTCTCCGGTCCCCAGGATGTTAGGGCCTTCTTCTGTTGTCATCCTTGCTTCCAGTGGTTTCCCTTCTCCCTTTTTCATGAAGCAGCATTTTCCCCCCCCACATCAACACATCCTCTGCAGCCCGCAGGCAGCATCAAAGAAACCCAGGACAAGCTGTGGCCTGTCCCCAGGAATGCCATCCCCAGGCAGAGGAGCAGCGGGAGGCACACGGGGCTGACCTCGCTGGAGGAGGCAGGGAGCTGCACAAGATAAAATGCACCTGTTTTATTGAAGGCGTGTTTACACTGAGGATCAGATCCTGCCTTACTCTGCTAAAACCGTACAGTGGAGTGGCTTTTCTGGAACAGCTCCTGAATGGGCCTGTCCAAACAGCAGCAGGGGAACATCAAAAGGTGCAGCGATCACCCGCAGATAAGCGCCCAACTGTCTGATCCTGAGTGCCCCCGGGCACGGCTCAGCAGCTTGTCTGCCCTCCATGAGCTCTCTGTATGGCCCTCCCCTGTACCAGAGCCTCTTTCTGCAGTGACTGCTCCACACCTGTGGCAGAGGAGAACTGACTGGCAGTCACAAAGCTCTGATCTCCAAAGAATAGTTAGTTACTGGTCAGATAACTCTCGGTGGGAAGCCCTTTGGACAGAGAAAGGAATGGGAACACAAGCTTGGGTCAGTGCTCGAGCAAGCAAGTCCCTGCTGCAGTGACCCAGCCACAGTGGGAAGTGTGTTTGCATCAACCATGGCTCAGTAATTATAGCAACAGATGACTCGAGATCAAAGCGTGCTTGTGAATGATGTGGCGAAGTAAATCGATGGAAATCTGAGCTTTTTTATCTCTGGATCTGTCTTTAATGCTGACTTCTGTCCAGCTTTAACCTGCCCTGGGAAAGCATCTCAGCTGGCAATGCAGCAGCGCTGGCCCGGGCACACCCTGCAGGCCACCCGGCTCCCCCGGGGCTCCTGCCCTGTGCCCGGTGTGCCTGGGGCCAGCAGGGTGCCTGTGGGGCCAGCAGACACTGGGCTCTGGGGCTGAGCACGGGGTTCTGTCACTGCAGAAGGGTACGTTTGCTGTCACAGGGAGTCAACAGAGCCAGGCGCCCGGGAGCCTTGTGCTGACATGCCAAGGTGCTGCTGGTGGTTGCTGCTTCCAGGGGCTGCCCCTCCCATTAGGAACACCCCAGGAGGCATCTGCTCCTCCACTGGATGCAGCCCAAGTGCTCCAGAGGTAGGTTCTGACCCAACTGCTCCCAGCCTTGCCCACCCATAAGGCTAAAGCCCAAAAGCCCAAAGAAGGTTGGACAGGACAGCCCCTTCCTTCAGGGTGACACAGCCCACAGAAACCATGGCTGGGCAGCACATGGGAAGGATACCATTTGCACAGCCCTGTCAATAAATCCCATGATCACCCTTCACCTAGGTTGGATCTGTCTCCTTTCTGTCGCATATGCTCCCATCAGCTTCTCTCCTGTGTTTATCCTGAATTTTGGACAGAGTTAATTACCTTGCTAGGATGCTGAGCTCCAGCCACTGCCCACACCAGATGTTCTCTTGGTGCCAACCATCGGTAAGTGCTCCACTGGGATTGTGTCATCTCTGCTCTGGTTCTCCAACAGGGCTTAGCAGAAGTGAGGCAGGGAGAGGTTTTCTAAATGTGAGACACAAAGAAAGAAGTTATTTCACAAACTGGTCTCTCCTGTGGTTGCACACTGGCTCCAGACCCCTTTCCTGCATGGTTCCTGGTGTTTGAGTCAAAAGTGGCAGAGTGTGGAGAGAAGGCCAGGGTGGCTATGGGTTAGGTGGAGAGAACAACTCCTGATTTACAAAGTGTTCCCCAGGTGTCTCCGAGACAGTCTTGATCTCTGTTGGTGATCTCTGCTGCTTTAATTTGCTGGTTTAATTCCACAGGCAGTGCCTCCTGCACAGTCACCATGCAGCCCATGTTGGGTTAAGTTTAGAGCTGCCCCCCAGGATCAGGCACCGATGCCACCTATACATGAGATTTCCCAAATCACATCAATCATCGAGGTTTTTCCTTGCTTATGCTGAGATGCTGTGCTGCTCCTACATGATGATTTCTCAATAGAGCAGAGAGGCTTAATTATCGGGTTGCAAAGTTCCCAAGGGTCTTATGAAAGTTGAACTGGAAGAGCGAAGTATCATGACATACTGGGACTCCTTAAACCGTGATAAGTTGTTACCCAAAAATTTGCTGTGATCCAGGGGAAGTCTGTCCCCTAAACCAGCTGCCCAACGTGCATGTGTTTTGGTTGTTATCATCAAAGTCCACAAGATGAACAGGCAATTCATTATCATTTAGGGTAGTGCTTTGAATGTTATCATTTGAGCTTCTTAGAAGGTTAATCTTTCTGTCCCTGGGATCACATCTTCCCGATGAGGAACAATTAGAGTATCCTGTGGTGAAACACTGGATTATTATTAATGAAACCTATGCTGCCCTGGAGTTTTAATTGACTCAAGCGTTTAAACACAAGCCTGACTTAAAACATGTGGGCACTCTCATTCCTGCCACAGGAGCTACCAATGCTTTTCATACAATGCCGAGAAATGTTAACTATTAAAACCAGGTTTGATTATTTATTAACCTTAGTTCCTCACATGTCATATCCCAAACCCCTCATCAGAAAGCGCTGAGCACTTAATGTGCCCTTGAAACTAAGCAGGGGTTTAACTACATATTTCTTTCCCTTAAGTCTTGCAGGAAGAAATGTCTGCATTCTGTCAGTGCAACAGCTATCCACCTTTCCAACTCTCCTTTCCCACTGCAAGCTCTTGGATGGAGACAAAAAGTTTCCAGGCCCAGCCCCTTTGTGCTGCCTGTGTGTAGGACCAGGATACAGCTGCCTCTCAGTTCTGCATGGAGACTCCCAGCTATTCCCAGAGGACTGGCTGAATTTCCCAGGCCATGTGCTGGAGCAGATGCAAGCTGCTTGCACAGAAAGGAGCGGAGCTGGCTGGATTTGGATCTTCATTTGGATCTTTGCTCCACAGGGAGCAAAGGCACTGGTTGCTGCCAATGGCTGTCAACGAGGAGCACTTCATGCAATTCCCATCTGCTGCCCCGCTAAATGTCATGGTCCAGGAATGCAGCTACTGCTCAGGCAGTTGCCAGCTGGCCACAGCAACTGCAGGTGTGTATCTTTTTATTTGTTTATATATGTAAATGGAGTCCAAAGTCTCAAAGGATTAAGTCATGCGATGCAAGGCATGTGACAGTGGTTAATAGTGAAGGGCAGACAAGGGTGACAGGAGGAAAGCATTTCAAAGTGGCAGCTGTGAGGTAAATCATACTGGAATTGGGTAACCTGGATTTAGGGGAGAGGTTGGAAAGGAAGGGCGTAGCACTGGGAGAGGAGCTCTTTCTTTTTTTTTCTCTGTGGAGGGCCCTGGTACTGAGGCTTCGGCCCTGATTTTTGTTTTACATCTGCTACTGCAGCGCTGATGTGCACCCACCAGCCTCATCAGAGAGGGGCCTGACTGACACCTAGAGAAGCCACAAAGTACTGGGGTCGGCTGTAGGTTTTGGGATATGCTCTTGGTACCAGAGGAGGCTCTCCCTCTTCCCTCTGCCTCTTCCAATTCCTCTCCCTCTCCCTCCCTCTCTCCTCTTCCTGGGCTCTCCGTAGCACATGAGACAGGGCAGAGAGATGAATGAAATGGGCTGATGGATGGAAGGAACTCTGCTGGACTCACGCTGGATCACACGGGATGTGGAAGATGCCCAGTTGAATGGCAACTGGATCTGACCCCGTAATTACCACTGCCACCACGTGTCTGAGCTGCAGCTGAGTGCACAAACAAAGCACTTGCCCATGCACTGACTGTCCTTTACATTAAGTGTTTCTGGGTCCTGGTCTTTTAAAAAAGAACGTAAAACCTGGTCTGATCCTCCTGGAGCTGAGTAGGGACCTCTGTACGGACTTCAGGAGAGCTGTACCCTGACATACAACTAGCCTTGTGGCAGACATCAAATGATGTTGCTCCCCAGCAGTCTGCTGATGTTATCACCCTTTCTTTGAGGAGTGAGAACAACAAGATCCTACAATGACAAACCACAGTGTTTGTTGTGGTACCAGACAGGTAAAAAAAAAAAAGTAAATAAAAGAAACCTTCCCAAATAATTACAAAAAGAGAGTACATTTCATGTCTCATGTCCTTTGTGTTTTTCATGGACCAAGCACCTTACAGACAATTTGCTCATGATCTGCCATACATAGGGGACAAGGAACCATCATGGAACACAGACATAAGCCAACTGGAGAGGAGAACAGCACCATTACAGAGGAATCATTATCTTACACATAAAACTCTAAATCAGCGCCACATTTCAGGCTCACAACTCCAGGGAATAAGGAAAAGCTTATTTTACATTAAGTTTCTTGCTGGTGGGTGCTTTCACCCAGAGACTAAATGTTGTTTAAAGCACTGCCACACAGAAAGCTCTGCAACAGCCAGAAGTTGTTTCACCTTCACCCACTGTTGGCTTGATAGGAATGAAGGATTTGCATTTTTGCTACAAGTATTTTTCTTCTAGGTAGAAGGCTACTACAAAACCAGCACAATGAATTAGGTTTGAGTCTCTGATAAGCAGGAGTGTCAAATATTACAGGTTGTTGTGGCTTTGGCTATTGTTTGGTTTTTTTTCCTTCAAATTCATCAAATTCTCTGAGGTTTTGAGTCTATAATAAACCAGCCAGGTGGATACAAAACTTGTTAGAGACCAAGCTTGTGCCTAAAAGCAGTCAAAGGGAGAGTCAGAGCTGTGCACGCACCCAGCAGGATGAACCCTGCTGTGGCCCTTCAGCCACTCCAGGTCTAGAAAGATGCCAAGAGGGTTGAGCAACGTGCCCTTAGACTTCAGTGCCCTGTCATCACGAGGCCGTATGATTTCACTCAATTACCAAGTCCTAATGGGCGCGTGGCACCTTGGCCTGACTGGCCGTTGGCTTTTCCAGAGTTGCTAGAGGGGGGAAAGTATTTTTCCATCCATGCTATTTGTTTGTTATTCCACTGTGAACTCCCCCAACTCCCTGGTGTCAAAACACCTGGCAGCGCTGCTTGTTTGTCCTGTTACTCCGAGTGCCGTGGCGGGTGGGAATTTGGCTGGCCCTGGGAAAGGAGCCACATCAAACGCCTGGGCTCCGAGTCCCATGGGGATTGTGCTGCCTGGTTACTTGGGAAGATGATCCTCCAAGAAGATGTCGCTGCACTGATGGGGATGACGGGAAGGATCTCTACAAATGCTACAGGGTTAGTGTGAGGAGCACAGTGACTCTGGATAACACCCCGGTTCCTCCAGTACTGGCCACACTTGGCTTTGGAGAAGTGAGCTGTAAGTCTGAAGGAAGAACCATACAGCAGGGAAGTGCTACGTCCCTGTGTGCATCCCCAGGTCTGGGTGCCCTGTTCTCGTGGTTATCAGAAGGCCCACAAACTCTACCAGGTCAGCTGCAGCCCCTGCTACTGTACAGCCTCACACAGAGAAACTCTACCAGCACCTGCAAATCCAGTTCTGTCCCTGGAAAAACGTGAGTGGAGCAGTGCTATAGACCATACTTCAGGGTGGAGACTCTTCTCCTCAAACCAGCTGCAATTGTTTGTTGTGTAATGGTGCCAATGAAGTTTTGTAACTCCCTCACATACTGGGAGGATTCACTTGATCATAAGAGCAATTTCACTTTCTGGCATCTACCATCCATCAGAAATTCCAGGCCAGAACTTTAAAGAGCAACTAATGACTTAGGATCTTATGACTGCTAAACGTTTCGACTGAGGTACCTCAGCAGGCAGGTACAGTCCTCCTCCTGAAACCTCCTCCTCAGAACAGGCATCAAAACTGTGGCTCGCTCCAAAAGCCCCACCTAGGCTAACAGTTGTCCCAGACAAGTCACAGAAGCTCCTTCTGAACCAAAATGTCAGCTCCAACTCCCAGATGAATCTCTGTGCAGGATTTCAGGGAGCACACGCACCCTTTCCCTCAGTTCTGGGAAGTTTTAGGTGCAGCAGAGCCACAGGTACGTGGGGCACAGCTTAGGAACACTCGAGGCCACCTGTGGCCACAAGGCCTGGCAGTGCTGACAGGCTCAAGGTGACACCAAAACACGACCACCCTCAGCCTCCTGTCAGGCTTTGAAGCGCTTGCAACCAGCTGGTGACTTGTGAGGGGAGACATGGGCAGAGGGCAGGATTGAACACAAAGGGTCTGATGGAAGTTGGTTCTACTTTGGAGATGATTTGGACATGATTAGGCTTTCTTTATGAGATCCTTCAGATAGTTCCTGCAGGGCAAATCTAGCTAAGTAGTTTCATGACCTTCCCATACAGTAACACTGACCCTATTTGGGAAGTCTGAATCCAGTGAAGCTTGGTAACTTCCTCTTATAGCTAAAGATGTTCAGTTAAGATCTGAAAAAAGCATCCTACCTCCCCTGAACCCATCTTGAACCCTGCCCTACACCAGTCCCTAGCAAAATGGTACCTGCATCCGTTCCACCCAGGCATACAATCAAAGGGTGACTCACTGTCACAATTCCTATTCATGCATTTATTGCCCAGATAACTCTCCATTAAGCTAATGAGTCATTCTTTTACACCCACCAAATGCATAGTTCGGCTGCTGCTGCTTTC